AACACAACCAAGTAGAAGAAATAGAAATAATGTGTTTTTTTTTTTTCATTTATAATCGTTATCATAGACAATTCAATGCGGCTATGAGAGGGAAATATTTGTAGAAAACACTAAAAAAACAAGATCAGCTTTTTGAAAAAATATAAGATATTTACAAAAGATTTTGATTATATCTAACTGTTGTTTAGATTGTGAATATTTCCATAATATTTGAGTAGCCTGTAATGCTTCGCAATTGCTTGAATTCGAGCAACAGGTACACTTGTCAATGTGTGAATTGGCCGCAAATCTCACTTCAAGGCTTTTTACATAGACTCAATATTGCTGTTTTAGCGAATTTCCCTACAGGGAAGTAGCTATTACCGTAGGTCTCATGGTAAGACTTAGGCCCGGGACCGATTTACTTTTTCATTTTGGTGTCTCCAGAGGCCAAAAACACCATTCGTTCAAATTTTTATATATGTATATATATATATATATATATATATATATATATATATATATATATATATATATGTGTCCGTGAACACGATAACTTGAGTAATTTTTATCCGATTTTGATGAAATTTGGTTTGAAGGTGTAAGGCAGGATAAACTTGAATGAGTTCGCGTTCCAGCATGATCGGACCATGGGAACAGGGTTTTATGGGGGGTTTTATGGGGTAAAAATTGGTTTTTCTCACTTTTGACCCTCAAAACACAAAATTTCCCAAATTTTCTCTAAACCTTCTTAAAGAGCTTTAAAAAACAAACAATTCAGTATATCAAAGGGTTTTTTACGGTTATTGGTTACGGAGAAAACTAAAAAAAATTGTAAATTTAAAATTCCCATGTTATTCTTATGGAGAATAACACTACTAGAGTTGCTTGTTGTAGTTTGCTTGTTTATGGATATCTTTTGATCAAACTTGGCAAATATATTCATTTTATACTAAGCAATAATTATTTTACTTAAAACACACACTTTATTATTTTCCTTGTAGCAGCAAACCTAGGTACTCGTTAAACCTAATGTTATTTAAATAGATCAATTTAAAATCAATTCAGCCAAATGGAAATTCGCTTAGACGTCAGGTTTGCTGCGGCGGGGGTATTTTGTAACATTATCGGAATGTTAAATTAAAATGCATACCGTATATGTGCATATAAAGGGTGTTCATTTGAAAACTTTCCATATCTGTTGTGTGCAAAGGTAAGGCTTTTTACCCTTGTTTGTTCTCATTTCCCCCTAATTTGGACATGCCAAATCCAATAAAATTATTTTCAATTCCGAAAAATGCCCCAAAAGGGCCCAATTTGGGGGGTAGGGGTGCTTTTTGAGAAATTTTCAAATGTAAACATGGGTTGTGTGATACATCAATTTAAAGGTCTAATCACCCCAACTATTTTGGTGCAATAAAAATTTAATTATCTTTAACCGTATTTACAGGGTGGGTCAAAATGTTTTAAAAAAGGACTTTGAAGTTAAGTACCGTATTACCCGAACTACTGAACGGAACAGCGCCAAATTTCTTTCCAAGCTTATTCTTGATTTACTCTTTAAGATAACTTGTAATAAGGGCATTTTCAGTGTTATTTTCTTTTTTTTTATCTCAAAGTTGAAGAATAAAAGAAAGCTGAAAACTCAAAATTCTTAAATAGCAAGGTATAGCAAATTTCATACCACGTGAAAGGTCCTTTTTTAACAAACATTTTACGTATTTAAGTTTTCTTTCTATCTCTTACCGTTTAAAAATTGCAGTAGAAAAAGTGAATTTTCCATAGTAATATTGTAACTAGTTTTCTAATAAAACAGCCAAAATTCGTCTCTAGACACATTTAATGGTGCATTAACTGAAGGAAACAATTCATAATTATTGATACCCTGATTGACAAACAAGTCATCACGTTTTACTTTGTGAAAAACAAGTCTTATAGCTGATGAGGACAACCTACATGTGGGCCGCTTTCTGTAGTACCATTGACTAGTCAATGGTAGTACTAATTTAAAAAAGTACTATTTTCTGTAGTATCTAATCGAATATGGTGTACACTTAAAAAAAAAAAACTTTAAGTCCCGATAAGACCGGGCTTGGGTTAATAGCCCGGGCTCATTCATAAACCCGGTTTGGTCGGGGTAACAAAAGAGCCCGTTCTGGTTGGGCTAGGATTTTACTTATTGGACAGAACAAAAGTGTTTCAGGATAACTGCAAAGTGTTTAACAATAAATATCCAGGTAAGACCTTAAGTCATAAAGCTGTAAATGATTTAGTTAAGAAATTTCTGAAACTGGCTCAGTTACCAATGAGAAAAGAACAGGATGAAGAGTCCAAGATGAACTGCCACAAGTAAAAGTAGTTGATCAATTTGTAATTAATCATAATACATCGTTGAGCAAAGTGCAATGTGTTTTGTTAGAAAACTAGTTACAATTTTACCATAGGAAATTCAGTTTTTCTACTGCAATTTTTAAACGGTAAGAGATAGAAAGAAAACTTAAATACGTAAAATGTTTGTTAAAAAAGGACCTTTCACGTGGTATGAAATTTGCTATACCTTGCTTTTTAAGAATTTTGAGTTTTCAGCTTTCTTTTATTCTTCAAATTTGAGATTTTTAAAAAATTAGAAAATAACATGGAAAATGCCCTTATTACAAGTTATCTTAAAGAGTAGATCAAGAATAAGCTTGGAAAGAAATTTGGCGCTGTTCCGTTCAGTAGTTCGGGTAATACGGTACTTAACTTCAAAGTCCTTTTTTAAAACATTTTGACCCACCCTGTAAATACGGTTAAAGATAATTAAAGTTTTATTGCACCAAAATAGTCGGGGTGATTAGACCTTTAAATTGATGTATCACACAACCCATGTTTACATTTGAAAATTTCTCAAAAAGCACCCCTACCCCCCAAATTGGGCCCTTTTGGGGTATTTTTCGAAATTGAAAATAATTTTATTGGATTTGGCATGTCCAAATTAGGGGGAAATGAGAACAAACAAGTGTTAAAAGCTTTACCTTTGCACACAACAGATATGGAAAGTTTTCTAATGAACACCCTGTATAGGCCTATAATAAGATTAAAACATATTTAGTCACGCAAAATTTGTTTATTTTTTTCATTAAAACTGCAATGAAATTTGTTTTTATCCGTGTAAACTTGCTGTTCAGAAATATACACAGTTTAACTGACTACCTACTCGATCCCCGTACTTAGGACGGGCTAACACCTTGTTAAAAATAAAGTCATGTTTGAATTATTAAATTTTCATTAAATAACTTTAATTATTTAAAATACCCCCGCTGCTGCAAACCTGCCGACTAAGCGAATATCCATTTATCTAAATTGATTTTCAATTGAATCTATTTAAATAACATTAGGCTTAACGAGTACTTAGGTTTGCTGCTACAGCGAGACAAATAAAGTGTGTTTTTTAGTAAATTATTAATAACTATAGTGTCCCTGTTGCTCGAATTCGAGCAATTGCTAAGTATTACAGGTGTTATTTTAAGATGAATAACAGTCATCATTTCTGATGATTTAAAAAGATTCGAGTCAAAGATTATGGAAATACTCAAGATGTAGGCCTACATAACAGATTATATCATTTTTTCTAGGCTCTCTCGCTTTTTTCCATTGTAATATTGACGCCAACCCAAATTCAAGTAGTAAATATTTCATTTCAAACAAGTCAGTAAATGTTTGTAGCAAACTTATTGACTGTTTACAATTAACATGTGTTCTTCTTCTCACTTTTAATTTCTGTCAACAGCTGGAGTTTCATAAACATTTTTGTTTCCCATGTTAATCTTATGGAGAAATACAAAACTTTAAAGGGCCCCAGGGTCTCACTCTCTAATTATTTACATAAAAAGAAACTTTCCTGCACAACTTCACGTTACGCTCTTTCCAATGACACCAAAAACATGTCAATCGGTTCAGTAGTTTCGGCAGAGTAATTGTCACAAAAAACCTGCTTGCGTATTAAATAAATACTAGAGGTCGTCCAGTGGTCAAAACTCGACCAAAAATATGTAATGTAGACTTCTCTATTTTCACCCCACACTGTAAATAAAACATGTGATTGGAGTTTCTTACATTTGTTTTGATTTTCTGTTTATATTTTGTTGTTATTTCGTCACCAGCATGGCAACCCATAAGATCCATGTTAATTTTTTCAAATTTTTAAACTCATTTTTTGTGCTTATCTTTGAGCCTATTTAAATTTATAAAGGGATTCTGCACACCTACAGGAAAATAGCTTTCCAACGGTATGCGTAGATTTTCCCTACGATTCACACGAGCTGAGAAAAAAGGTTTTAAAGAAACATGCTTGCCTATTAATATATAGATAGATAGATAGATAGATAGATAGATAGAATATAGATATATAGATTTGGTATAAAATAAATAAATTTGCCAAGTTTGATAAAAATATACTGCAATATAAACAAGCAAACTACCAAATTTTACAATATTCTCCATAAAAATAATATGGGAATTTTAAATTTACAATTTTTTGAATTTTCTCCGTTACCAATAACCGTCGAGTTCACGGACGTATATATATATATACATATACAAATTTGAACGAATAGTGTTTTTGGCCTCTGGAGACATAAAAATGAAAAAGTAAATCGGTCCCGGGCCTAGGTCTTACTGTGCCACCTAGCGTAATAGCTTCTTCCCTATAGAGAAATTCGCTAACAAATTGTTTGGAAATGAAGAATGAAGCAACAGTTAAAAATAGCAGTGAGTATAGCACATTACCTGACACCCTCCCCCACATCAAGGTCAAATTAAATAAATTCTAACCCCCTTATGGTTCAACAATAGAAAAGTTGGAAGCACTGTTGGTTTTTAAACTAAACCTGACCCAGATGTTCTCATTCATTTTGGGTTCTAAATTAAAAGTCTCAGCTATATATGTGAGTAAACATGTCTGGAGAACAATTTTTCTATTTTAATAAATCTCTGTACCAATTCATTCAACAGTAAATAAAACTATTGACAAATTTGGTTACCTGTGAAACTTAACAAGGATATCTGCATGGTCTGAGTTGACTTCTCGGAAGGTGAGGTTGGAGTCTCTGGACCACACTGCCAATGCCTGGTGGAGTTCCCGCCTCAACTGACCATGGTCCAGCTCAACATGGCGAGTTCTCAGGCTGAAGTCATACACATGAATATCAGTACAGTAGCTACATAGGCTTGAACCACCATTGCCACTTCAGTGAGGCAAGTTGTATGGTTGTTTTAAGCTGATGAGTACAGAATGAAGGAGTTAGATTGAAGGGAGATGACCTGCAAAACTTTGTTACTATAACTAAGATTAATTGTGTTTTAAGCCAAGACCATTTCACAAAGCCCAATTAACAAGAACTGCCATTTTCTTAACACGAGAACATGAGTCGTACATTTTGTACGTTTAAAAACTAGTTGAAAAAAGGAGTTAGAAGTCAAAGTTTTGATTCTATTTATCAAAAATAACATGCCATTATCGACTCCATAGTGTTCTCATACTTTTTTTAAGGATTATATTATCATAAACTATTCATCTAAACTATTATTTTCTTCAATATAAATTTAATACTTTCTTATTAAATGGCGACCATACAAAGTAGGTATTTTAAGCCAAGTATGAATGGAGAAGAGTGGCGCGATCTTGTAGTCTTGTTAGTGACTAAGGCGACATTCCTTAGACACAGCTGTTAATTAATAGCCCATACAGCTAATGGCAACTTAGGAACCTACAGTTTATAGTGGAATCCGAACCACATTTTTTGCCTTGGTATATAGGAATTGGTCTTTTTAACACGTAGAAATCTAAAGGACAAAAGGATCAACACTAATAATATATAAATACTAAGATTAAACATTGAGATTTTTGTTTGTTAAAATTGTTGGGATACTCCAATGCCAATGGGTTTTTGCACTAATGTGTATAGGGCTTTTACACTAAAACAGAAGATCCTACAGTATTCACAGGCTATGCCATAATAAGACTAATAAACGGTATCAACAATCTGATACATACTTTCTTCCATTTATTTTCTTAACAACCCTTATCATGGGTATGCTAGGAGTAACTATGATATTTTGTGAGCAAATCACAAAAGTTGCAATTACTTTAGAACCATAATTTTTACAACAATGGGGTCTATGATTTTGTTTAGAACTAAAAGTACTACAACATACTAAATTTTTAATTAAAATCAGTTGAGAGTTTATGTTTTTGTTTTTTAATATCCAATTTTCTTGTCAATTTATGGGTTTTTATCGTAAAACCATATACGTTGCAATAGCTTCTGAAACGTTATTTTTTAAGCAATAGGTGTTGTACCCTTTTAGCGAATTTCCTATATAGGGAATAAGCTATTAGACCACAGTACTCATGGTAAGACCTAGACCCGGGGACCGATTTACTTTTTAGTTTTAAGGTCCCTAGAGCCCAAAAACACCATCCGTTCTAATTCATATATACTTATATAATTTGTACAATTTATTTCCAAACCATTTTGTAGAGCTCAAAAAAACAAATAATTTAGTATATTGAAGCGTTGTTATGCGCCTTAATGGTTACGCAGAGAATTACAAATAGATGTAAATTTTAAAATAACATGTTATTCTTATGGAGAATAAATAAACTGTTGTAGTTTGCTTGTTTATGGACATATTTTGATTAAATTGGAAAATGCATTTTTTTAACTATTAACATTTTACAAAACAAAGACTTTTACCCTCTCTGTTGCAGCAAACCTAAGTACGGTACTAGTTAAACTAACGCTATTTAAATATAGGAAATAAATGTGATAATTTTAAGGAGATGTTCTAGTGTAAATCCAATCAGGCAAATGAAAATTCGCTTACTACATTAAACAAAAATGTTTGAACCGTTTTTTTTTTTGTAATTTGATTTTCAGTTGTTTTATTAAACCCTGCCGCAGCATACCTGCAAACTAAGCGAATGTCCATTTATCTGGCTGGATTTCGACTATAATATTCTCTAAAAATTGTCAGAATTACAGTATTTCCTATTTAAATAACATTTGCTGCTACAGGGAAGATATTGAGGTGTGTTTTTTTATTGCGAATGTTGATAGCATAGTATTAAATAAACAACATTTCCAAATTTGGTTAAAATATATCCTTAACCAAGCAAACTACCTACAACAGTTTATTTATTCTCCATAAGAATACCATGGGACTTTAAAATTTAAAAGGTTTTTAATTTTCTACGAAACCGTTGGTTATACAACAACGCTTCAATATACAAAATGATTTAATTTTTTAAGCTCTACAAAATGGTTTGGAGAGAAATTATGAAATTTTGTGTTTTTAGGCTCAAAAAAGTAAACCCCCCCTAAATCCCCATTCCCAGAGTCCGATTATGCTGGTTCGCGAACTCATTTGAATGAACTTAGGTTTACACGTTTGTACCAAATTTAATCAAAATTGGATAATTTTAGCTTGAGTTTTCACGCTAACGGACACACACACACATATTTTATATATATATATATATGTGTGTGTGTGTATGTGTGTGTGTGAATTTGAATGGATCGTTTTTTGGCCTCTGGGGACCTTAAAACGAAAGAGTAAATCGGTCCCAGGTTTCGGTCTTACCATGAGACCTACGATAATAGCTTATTCCCTATATGAGAAATTAGCTAAAAAAATAGGCCTACCATTTAAAATAAAAATTTTAAACAGTGAGAAAATACTGCAGTACCATGGTACCCATGTACCAAATGTGGACTGTACCGTAGCTCTGTAAACATCCGCACACACATATACAGACATTACATCAAAAACCACTTTTATAGGTTAAGGGGGCCCAAAAGGGATAAATCTACCCAAAAACTCAAACTCAACAGTTTTGACGAGAAAAAATACTTTCTCCATATCTACAACTCCTTATTTAATAGGATGTACATGTGAACTTCATGTACATGTTACAGTAAGAAAGCAAACATTTTCATGAAAGGAAAGAAAGTGAATTTAATCTGTTGGATATTATATGTTGCTAGATTTTCTTAGTATATCTTGAGGTAAATCAATCCTTCCTTAGTTATTGTTTTATATTAAATCACAGTTCTGTATATTTATTTTATTTGATAGATAGGCGAAAATTACGTATTATTAAATGTATTAAACTTGTTGAATCTGAAATGATCAAAATCAATAAAGTAGTGTGGTGTTTAAGGATGCTTAAGTCTTTTAGTCTATGCAAGGGGAGTTTTGAAGTTTTATTTTCATTACCAAATGGAAAGTTAATAGGAGACCACACCCTTCCCATATTGATTCCACTATTTTCACTGGTGTATTCTTTAAAATGTCCTTCCATTTCATCTTTTAGAAAAAATTCCTTTATAAATGCATGAATTTGTTGTTTGTTGAAAGTATTTTGGTGAGTGCAAAATATAAAATAAAATCCAAACAGTCAATAATATTTTAATTGAAAAAAAAACACATAACTACAAGTTTATATAACTTTACATCAAGGTATGACAAGTTTATTATAAACAGATATTTAAAAAAGTTGTATTTACATTGTAGGAATTTTAGTGATATTTAATAAGAGGGTTATGTTTTTAACAAATGGTAAGTAAGTAACATAGTTTTATTAAATTTTGCTGATCGTTTAACGTGAAACTTTTAAAGCCACAGTGTGATAATTACCACACTATAATATTTTAACACCCGCCCCAACTGCATCAGTGCCAACACCGCTCTAGGTAGTTCACAACCCCAACTGCATCAGTGCCAACACCGCTCTAGGTAGTTCACAACCCCAACTGCATCAGTGCCAACACCGCACTAGGTAGTTCACAACCCCAACTGCATCAGTGCCAACACCGCTCTAGGTAGTTCACAACCCCAACTGCATCAGTGCCAACACCGCTCTAGGTAGTTCACAACCCCAACTGCATAAGTGCCAACACCGCTCTAGGTAGTTCACAACCCCAACTGCATCAGTGCCAACACCGCTCTAGGTAGTTCACAACCCCAACTGCATAAGTGCCAACACCGCTCTAGGTAGTTCACAACCCCAACTGCATCAGTGCCAACACCACTCTAGGTAGTTCACAACCCCAACTGCATAAGTGCCAACACCGCACTAGGTAGTTCACAACCCCAACTGCATCAGTGCCAACACCGCACTAGGTAGTTCACAACCCCAACTGCATCAGTGCCAACACCGCTCTAGGTAGTTCACAACCCCAACTGCATCAGTGCCAACACCGCTCTAGGTAGTTCACAACCCCAACTGCATCAGTGCCAACACCGCTCTAGGTAGTTCACAACCCCAACTGCATCAGTGCCAACACCGCTCTAGGTAGTTCACAACCCCAACTGCATCAGTGCCAACACCGCTCTAGGTAGTTCACAACCCCAACTGCATCAGTGCCAACACCGCTCTAGGTAGTTCACAACCCCAACTGCATCAGTGCCAACACCGCTCTAGGTAGTTCACAACCCCAACTGCATCAGTGCCAACACCGCTCTAGGTAGTTCACAACCCCAACTGCATCAGTGCCAACACCGCTCTAGGTAGTTCACAACCCCAACTGCATCAGTGCCAACACCGCTCTAGGTAGTTCACAACCCCAACTGCATCAGTGCCAACACCGCTCTAGGTAGTTCACAACCCCAACTGCATCAGTGCCAACACCGCTCTAGGTAGTTCACAACCCCAACTGCATCAGTGCCAACACCGCTCTAGGTAGTTCACAACCCCAACTGCATCAGTGCCAACACCGCTCTAGGTAGTTCACAACCCCAACTGCATCAGTGCCAACACCGCACTAGGTAGTTCACAACCCCAACTGCATCAGTGCCAACACCGCTCTAGGTAGTTCACAACCCCAACTGCATCAGTGCCAACACCGCTCTAGGTAGTTCACAACCCCAACTGCATCAGTGCCAACACCGCTCTAGGTAGTTCACAACCCCAACTGCATCAGTGCCAACACCGCTCTAGGTAGTTCACAACCCCAACTGCATCAGTGCCAACACCGCTCTAGGTAGTTCACAACCCTAAGGAAAGAATTTGATCACACTAAGCGGTCAATTTTGATTCTATAATGAACATGAAGGATGAGTAACTATTTCATACAGCAGATTTAGAGAACAGCATTATCATCCATGTCCTCTTACCTTACCA